AATGCCGCGTTTGTTTCGCTTTAAAAATGTTCTTGCCAAGATCACACTTTTTGTGCACACATTTTCAGATGGAATTTTTAGCGCTTTTTCGAATGGTTGTAATACAACTGTTACTTTACTCAGGAGACTTTCATAATACGAGCATTTCGGTTTTCACCAGTAATTAACAGGATACACATATTTACAGCAGACACTCAGAATCATAGTTTTACGTGTCATAATTTCACTAAAAATTGGAACTGCTGACAGATGATACCACATGATCGAATCCTTATAATACAGAAACACTTAAAATTAAAATAATCTTGTTGCAAACTAAAATTAATGGCAGCGGTTTAAAAGAACGAAAATTTTATAATTAAAATGCAATTGATTGAAATCTACTAACACTCAACGTCAAATTAAAATTGTTTAAAATTCTTACATTTTTCAAAACTTCATAAGAATATAAAAAAATTTTCCATAATTGATTTTACATACCATAAATTAAATTTCTTAAATATCAAATTCCAACTTTAATATTTCAATTTACTTTAACTTAATTCTTTTGAATTAAATTATCCAAATCTTGAAATAATTCATCCACATCCTCAAGCTCAACATTATAGTGAATTTTATTTTATTCTTCATAACCTCAAAATTAAATTTTTATTTGTTTTAATGGTTTTTTTTTTTGTAATGTCATTATTGTCAACAATGGCGCTTATTGTTATCATCATAATTTTTTTTTCCATTTTTTTTAAATTTTGATCTTTAAGGAACCTATTGAATGTCGTACACACATAAAACAAAGTGTAAGATTAAAATGTTTTGGCATATACAAGACAGCAAGCGACATTTTAATAGATTTTAAGAATAACCGAAATTTCATTATTATTGTCTGTCATTTTATTTCGTAATTTTTATGTATGTATGTTTGTGATATTGTTTATTTAATTCGGAAGTACGAACATTACAAATTATGAGATCTTAATAGGTATTTTTATTGTTCATTTAGTGTTTATGATAATAAAAAAAAAACTAAATATGTATTTCATGTGTGTGTATATACACAAATATAAAAAATACAGGGTGTGTCTATAGAAGCACCATCATGATGTTAGTTCATAGATGTTTGCATCAATTCGTTCCTAGTTTTTAATTTTGCAAAGCAATTAGCTGCCCGCCTCCCTTTTTTGCACCAATTTAAAGTTCTTGCAGTCACATATTAATTATGTAAATCTTCTGTTTCGGTAATGCTTTCTTCTTCGAACTCATAAGATATTGCTTAATTCAGTAAATTCTCTGATTCTATGATTCTTGTCTAGCCTCGTGGCTTCAATTACAATTATTCGAAATAATTTCACGTTTAATAATTTATGGCTCCGAAACATGGTACCAAGAATGGTACTAAATAAATGGCCCCGGCGAACATGACATGGTTAGAAGTAAAACAAATGGTTCTTAACAGAGTTCGTTCGAGAAGCTTTGTGTCGGACCCCTATACTTCCAAAAGGGTGAACAGAAACAATAAAAAACAGTAAAAATTTTAAAGTTGAGCCTAATCCAAGTTAATGCACTTTTACCAATGAAGCCCATTATGTTATTTGTAAAACTAGGTTTGTAACTGGGCTCAAATACAGACTTTACGAGAATTAACAACATTCTTTTATTCTGTCGAACTTTCCTTTCTCTTAAACTGTGAGGTGTAATTTACTCCTTTATTAATGCGAGTACTTTTGAAAGGAGAGCTTCCAAAATCACTCTTCCGTATATTTTGAAATTACACTTGGACCATTGATTTTTGATGGCACACTGTATACCTATTCAGTTGTCTTTAGTTCTTGAAAACGGGAACCACAATCAGTTTTTCGTTCTTCAATAAATAAATAGAAAAAAAAACACAAACATCAAAATAAATTTGTCGTTTTCTTTTTCTTCTTTTTGATTGTTTATTCCATCAATTTGATAAATTGTCTTCTCTTTATAACTCTATCATATCCATTGAATCAACAGAAAATGCGAAATTTTATGGCTCCACAAACAGAAAAAATAACAAGCAACAACAAGAACCATAATAAAATGAAAATATTTTGATCCCATGAATGTCATTTTCATTCTCCTAATATTTTCGCTTGCCTTTCGCCCCATTATACCCACTAAAAAATCGTAAATAATCTTAACCAAGACTAAAAAAAAAAAATTATTATTATTCTTTATGCTAAGATTTCTTTCTTTAAGTGTTCTTTGCCGTCAAAATTGATGAAAACCACTTTAAGTCTATATAGACACTTCTTCTTATATTTTCCTTGAAAAATTTTCAAAATATCAACCAGTTTATTTGAGGTATTTTGATATTGTGGTATGCGATTGTGATATAAAATGATGATGTGTTGATAATAGCAATAATAACAGCAACAAATATAAAAATAATGTCCCTAAAGGGATTATAGAAATCACCAAAAAAAAAGATGTAAAAATAACACAGAAAAGAAGAAAAAAATTAAAACGGAGGCTCGAAGCATTTTATTAATCTTTTGTTTTGATAATTTTTCAGTTGTTCACTTCCGGTTCTTATGCTATATAAACATAGCAAAGAATACCATCCTTTCGTGTAATGAGCAAGCTATAAGTTCATTTTCAAGTAGAGAATATAAGAATTCATCGACTGATCAACTTAAAAGAACAATATAAACGGAAGGAAGGAACTATAAATTGAATCGAATAAATTATATTGTACAATAAGAAAAAGACAGCAGAAATAAAAAATGGCAAGGAACATGAGAAAAGGATAAAAATTTTATATAATATAGGAGTACAATAAAATTGTTGACACAATTTATCTTTTTTATTACCAAAGATATTTTGTATTAGTACACCGCAGCACTGGCAATTACAGCTCATATACGATATATACAAAATACATAAATGTTGTTAGTAATACAAGGGTTGTGGACACTACTATTATTAATTTAAGGTATACTATATAATATGAGAAGCTTCAGATATGCAAAATATTATTTAAACGAATATTTAAGCTTGAATGGTATTAAACGACTAGTTTGATTCAACAAAATTTCATATAATTTCTCCAGATCTCTGTTAGCTTTAAAACTAAAATGGGCCCATTACAAAAACTTAAATTTTTAACTCGAATTGAGCTCCTGCACATGAACATTAGTTGCATTTTACATACACAAAGATTAAATTCATATAATATTGATTTAGAATTTTTTTTTACTCCTCTTAATGTCCTTTTAAATAAGTAGTTTTTAAGGCTTTTTATCACCATTAAGTATATACGAATATCTATATTCGGCATCAAATAAATTATTATGAGATTTTAAAAGAATATTGCAGAAATGCAGTAAACCTAAAGTATTATCATAAATTCAATTGCATTTTTAATAGTGGAAACAAAAAAAAAATATTAAGGCTATTTAAAAAAAATCAATTGCATAATTTTTGCAATTTTTTTGTAAAAATAATGTGAGAGTCTCAGAATTGGTGCAGTATGCGTGTATTTATACGGTAAATAATATTGCATATACGATTTGATAGATCATTGAATTTTTAAATCTTTAAATTTTTTTATGTGAATTCTGCTAAAATTACCCTTGGCCATGTGGGTTATAATTAAAAATATTAGCATTATCATTTTTGTACCTTTTTAATGTGGAATTCTTTGAAAATTTCCAAGTCATTTCAAGGGTAACACAATTTACGGAAAGTGTTCTAATCCGAAAACCGATTGCAGGAACAAAAAATCCAGTTGGGTTTAAGTATGAGTTGAAGTTTATTGGAGAATCGTGCAAGTGAATCTTAAATTTTTTAAAGCAAATGATTCTTTTAAGTTTGTTCTTTTTGTTGGATCGAATCTAGGTCGGGTATTCGCCTTCCAACACATAAAAATGTTCGAAATCTAAACATTATTCAACTTGCATGGGTTCATATACTTTTGATTCCGGTTAAGTTCACAAAATTCAGGCAATAATAATATAGAAAACAAAATTTTTAGTTAAATAAAAATGCAAACAAAACAAATACGCCATGGTTTACCGCAGAAGTAAAAGAGCTAGCAACAGAAAAACGCGAAGCATACAGAGAATACAAATCTGTGAGAAGCCGCGTAAATTCCAACATACGCAGAATAAAAAAAGAACACTGGGAAGCGTTTACTGCAGACATGGAAAGAGATTTGTATGGTGCCCAAAAAAAAAGTGTGGGGAATGCTTCGACGAAGGAAAAAGGAGTTAAATGAATATGTGCAAACAAATACTATATCTATTCAAGACTGGGAAAATCACTTTAGAAAGTTGTATGAAAATAGGGAAGACCGTGAAGCAGAAACACTTTTGCCAGAAGTAATAAGTACTTTTATTAGCATAGAACTTGTAGAGAACGCTGTAAAAAGTTTGAAAAATCGAAAGGCTGCCGGATATGATGAAATACCAAATGAGCTAATAAAATACGGGAGCAAAGGTCTTCATCATCAATTGGCATTATTGTTCCAAAAAACCATTACCAGCGGAACAATTCCAACTGACTGGAGGAAGAGCCTCACAATACCTATTTTCAAAAAGGGGGATAAAAGGATCCCGGAAAATTATAGAGAGATAACTCTTCTAAGTGCAGTAATGAAGCTCTTCACAAAAATTCTCCAGAATCTCCTATCAGAAAAAATTATTATGTGTGAAGAACAGCAAGGATTTCGAAAAAACAGATCTACGATAGACGCAATTTTTGTGGTGCGACAAGTAGTAGAAAAATCAATAGAATTCGAGAAACCGGCATTTATGTGCTTCGTGGATTTAACTAAAGCTTTCGACCGCGTCCTCATTGATATAATCGAGATATTGACAGCGAAAAACATCCCACCCGAAATAATTTAAATTATCGAAACCTTGAACAGAAACACCTCCACATATATATTAACGAACAACATCAAATCAAACGAAATTCAAATATCATCAGGAATAAGGCAAGGCGATTCTTTGAGTCCATTTCTCTTCAACTTAATAATGGAAAAAATAATATCTGAAGTGAAAAACGCAGGACGTGGCTATAGAACTTCAAAAGGAGAAATAAAAATTATATGCTACGCAGATGATGCCGTGCTAATATCTGAAAATGAAGACGAGCTGCAAAAATTGCTACACCAGTTTTATATTACATCTTCAAAATTAAACATGGAAATTTCGGTAGCAAAAACAAAGTCTCTAGTAATTGCAAAAGAACCTTTAAGATGTAAATTGGCGGTTAACGACAAAATAATAGAGCAAGTAATGTCGTTTAAGTATTTAGGGGTAGAGGTTTCTGCTTGCCAAAACCGAAACAAAGAAAATATGCAACAATTAAACAAAGCAGCAAGAGTCAGTGGTTGTCTAAGCGACATTATATGGAAAAACAAGCACATGGGACAAGTAGCGAAGATTAAAATATATAAATCATGCGTACGCCCAATTATGACTTATGCAGCGGAAACTAAGGCGGAGACAAGCAAAACAAAAGCCAACTCGCGTGCAGCAGAAATGAAAACGCTTAGACAAGTAGCAGGACGCACATTGCAAGATAGAGTTCCGAGCGCAGAAATAAGAAACACGTTAGATGTTCAAGATGTGGTGAGATGGGTAAGAGCTAGGAGGCGTGCCTGGAATGAACACGTCTCTAGAATGCAGAGTGACCGCATTGCAAAAATAGCAAGAGATGGCAAGCCAAGCAACACCAGACCGCCAGGCAGACCACCTAAAAGATGGATCGAGTGCTGGACATCAACTTCTCAAGAGGCGAACTAATTGGAAAAGAACAGGCTGAGAGGCCTATAAAGAAGAGGAAGAAGAAGAAGAAAATTTTTAGAAAATTTTTAACGTTTTAAGAAATTCTCAATGCTTTTCTTTTAGATTTTGAATATTTTGAAGATTCAAAAAATATTTTCATTATTTTAATAGCTTATAAAGTGATGAGCAGCTTGCTAGTGGTTAGCATCACCACTATCATTACCACATTATAGCAGCATATCTGAAACAGATACAGCAACATTTTATATTACATTGCTGTTCCAATTTTGTTTTGATTTCACTGATAGTGCTTAAGTACGGCACAAATTTTAAATTATGTAAATTATATTGAAAATATTATGTGTTGCTGGAATAGCATCGTTAACCAATTCATTATTGCAAATTTGAAGTCAGATATGAAATTTTTCTATATCTTTCGTTGTTCCGAATTGACAACAGAGCCTTGTCTTTAGCACTTTAATATCTAAGGCTCTGCAACTTAGATTATGACTAATTTATTCATAATTTTTTCATATTCTGCGTTATTTAGAATATATTAAAATAATTATATTGAGAATTGATTTTCTCACGCAGCTCATATTTTTAATTAATAATTTTAAACAAAACTTCCAAAAGCCACAATCCCATACCAATCCAAATGTAACAAACTTTCATTCTCTTATTTCACTGATTAAGAAAAATGCCGAATTATTTCATATACATACAACAGCTATATAGTATAACAATATATTTAATAATGTATAATAAAACCAAGCCAGACAGATTTTTTAATTATTCCATTTTTACCGACCGTATTGTGTAAACAATAGGTAGGTTATGTGATGGCAACAAATTTTGCATATCGAGTTTTCGGTGGAAACGTACTTCTCCATAGTGGGGAAGTGTAAATAAACTATTTTTAGCAACCTGTCGGTCTGTCGGTCTGTCGGTCTGTCGGTCTGTCGGTCTGTCGGTCTGTCGGTCTGTCGGTCTGTCCGTCTGTCGGTCTGTGTGTGCACGCGTGTATCTCAAGTTCGGCTGAACCGATTTTGATGAAATTTTATATGTAAGTTTGTTTCCACCATGGCACGGATCGATCAACTTTTGGTATATATCAGGCCTCGGGAACTGCACTTTTTAGCGGGCCTGTTTTACATTTTTGAACATTTTGAAGAAAGTATTCAACCGATTTACTTGAAATTTTATATATAAGCTCAGCTCGACCGTCCGCAAAAATTCGTATGTTTTGGAAGAAATCAGGCATCGGCAACTAGACGTTTACTACGGGCCAAATATACATTTTTGTGTATATAAAGAGAAATAATCAACCGATTTCATTGAAATTTAATATATGAACTCCTCGTATTAAAACAATGAACATATAAATTTTTTGGAAAGATCAGGGCTCGAAAACGGATTTGCGGGCCGATTTTACATTTTTCACCATTTTGAAGAAAGTATTCAACCGATTTACTTGAAATTTCATATATAAGCTTTGCTCGATCATACGCAAAAATTCCTAACTTTTGGAAGAAATCAGACATCAGCAACTGGGCGTTTACTACGGGCCAAATATACATTTATGTGTATATAAAGAGAAATAATCAACCGATTTCATTGAAATTTAATATATGAATTCCTCATATTAAAGCAATGAACATATAACTTTTTTGGAAAGATCAGGACTGGAGAACTGATTTGCGGGCCGATTTTACATTTTTCACCATATCCACAGAATAAATTGATGGAATTTCTTGAAATTTGATATTTGAGTTCTGGTTGTTACCGAAACTAACTGGCGAGCATTTCAGGGAATTCGGGTAGCACAAAGCGAAACTCTACTAAGAGCCCAATTTACATTTTTCTAAGTATGTTAACTATAAGCTTACTAATGTCCTAAAAATTGGAAAGAAGTATTTAGCAGACATTTTTATAATATTCTGTAACACTTTCATTTAACTAGACAATACACAATGCGGTCGGTTATGTGCTGACCACATCAGATTTTTTTATTTAATGAACCCCACCCTTGATGAAAAATCAAAATAAAAGTTTTTCAAGCAAAAATTATTTAACTCATTCACTATACGAGTGCATAAGTATATACTTTTATCCTATATTTATACTTACATCTTTGTTTAATCATCGTATTCCTCCCTGCTCTTCTGTATGTCTCTTTTAATTTTTCTATTTTAGAAATAAGGTAATTTTTGAGGCTGTGTATCTTGTTATGCCTTCATTTTCTTAAAATTAATCGATTCTTGTTAATCACATGACAATGACTAATAACTTCAATCATTCATACACCAAAATGTGGAAAAAATAAATGCAAAAAAAAAAATAAGAAAAGAATAAAAATGAAGATGAAACACACAAAATATTCCAACTGTGAGATGAAATCCTTTTGCATAATAATGAATTTTTCAACTACAGCTATGCAATAAGAATAAAATGAAACTTACAAAAAAAAAAAATCTCTGGTCTCTTTAAATTTATAATGTACAATAGATGAAGATTGAAATTTGAGATTTTTTTTTTTGAATTTCATTTGATTTTTCGAAACTCTGAGTACTTTTATCTTTTCCTTTGACATTTTCATACATAAAAAACAAAGGAATTATTTAAGAAAAAAATGTTTTGTTTTTTTTTTTGTTTTTTGAATTTTTAATTAAATGGGGGAACTATATTATAATGATTATTGTCTAGCTAGATCATCTAGTCTAGATTATGTACTTACGTTACATTATAAGAATTTCAATGTGTTAAAAACAGCGGTTTCCAATGTGTTAATCTTAGCAGAGAAGAGTTGTGCTCAATTGAGTTTAGAAAGAATAGAAAATCGAAAGAATAAAAATATTAAAATATTGAAGACTGGGTAACATTCGTAAAATATCGTAGATCTCAAACTTTTTGAAATATTATTAAAATTCTATAGAATAAATGAAATTTCTTGAGACTCCATTTACGTATACAATTTTCAGTTGAAGAAAACGCAGAAATGAGTTCAGATTCAATGTGCGTACAAGTTACAGTACCGGCAAGCTACAGTATCAACCCGTCATTTCCGAAATTTCATAAAACGTATCACACGAGAATTTTAAAATTTTAAATAGTGAACTCTTATATACATACAATATGATTCTCCTGAACATGAAGTAAATTTATTTCGTTAGAGAGAAATATATTTTAAAAAGAAAAATACTCTGATTAATTTTTTGCTTCTAGTGTTGTAGCTTCCTCGAATTTCTGTTATTTGGTATTATAATTTCAATTGACATTATCATGAACACTGTTACTATGAAAACAGAACCAAAACGGTGAGCGGCAATGGAGACCGATTTCCGATGTTAATGCAGAACATGAGCGTTCTAGAAAAAAAAAACAAAATTCCAGCGGTTAAATAGTTATTTAGGCTATTCCAACGCCAGGCGAAGTTTTGCTTCATTCTGGGCAGCCCCATTTAAATATATGTATTCTGTATGAATTCTGAAATTTCAGAACTGAAAATCGGTTCTTTGAACTTTACTCCTATTATTTACTTATCATAAATTTATATTTTTTTTTTATAGTACCTTGCCGAGGCCGGTCACTATTACATAGCTCGCCGTCAATACAACGATTATGAAACACTGTTTTTTATGTCATCATATAAACACTGAAATGTTTATTAAAACAATTCACTTATATTGAGCCCTTGAAAAAACTTATACAAATTTATTGACAGATTTCTTAAAATTTTAATTTAAAATTATTTGTCAATTTTTAATATTATATGACGACGATCTTATGCAAAAGGGAATACAATATGATAATATTAAACTATAATATATTTATATCTATGCCGTCAGATTTTAAAATTAAGTAAAATAGATAAAACGGAATCAAAGAATATGAATGAATCAAAATTAAATCCCCCTCTACTTTCTACACACATATTAATTTTATTCGATATTTTTATAATATGCATAATATAATTGGTTTTAGAGTTTTGATCTTTTTTGAATAATTAAAGTTTTTTTGAAAATAATCATATAGTACTCACCCTTGGTATTCACACGTACTCAAATACATAGTCAATGTAGTTAGTACGTAAAACCACATTTTATAAACTCTTTAATAAAAAACAAAAAAAATCTTAATTTTTTTTATACATTTCCAATTCCAAATGCAAACACTCATACAAATTAAAATTTTTGTCCCACTTAGTATAATGCCAATGTTCTATAAAACATTGAAAATAAAATGTTCGTGAAATAAAATACAAAAATTACGAGGAAAAAAAAAAACAAACAAATAAAAATCTGAAATGAAAAATGTCAGAATTGACTTTAAATGATTGCATCCGATGCCATGCAAAGATCACAGGAAATAAATTTAAAAAAAAAATATTCCCTTTTGTTTGGAAATAATAAATTATTAAGAAAAAAAACAACCGAGATGCCTAAAAATTGAAAATTTAATAAATAAATAAAAAAAAAAGAATGCAAAAGGAGTCAATCCCCATAATATGAAATTGTGGATTTTTCACAAACAAAAAAATAAAAAATCTTTGCATCTCATTTTGCTCTTTAAATTCTAAAAATATACTTCCAAAGAGAATTGATGGTGGAATTGAAAAATTCAATAATGAAAAAAATTTCATTAAAAAATGCATCTGGTTTTATAGTTTTAAGATTAACATTATTAAATCTTCCCATATTGTTAAATTTCGTGGTATTTTGCAAAATTTAAAACATTAACCCACAAAAAAATTCTAGGTTATGTTAATTAATTGACAATAAATTAAAAATGTTGACTGGGTTTGATATTTCGAGAACGACGTATAGAAATGGATGTGGAATCTCGTTAATTTTTCATAAAAGCGAATTGTTCATGTATTCGGTGGTTATAACTAAACTGTAATGATAACAATTTAAAATAATTTAATAGAAGCGTTAGTATAGAGCTAGTTATTCAAATATATTGAAGCTAAATACTGTTTAAATAGTACAGTTTGTCCTATATAAAATATCCGACAG